ACTAATGGTTGTGGGGATTTATTGATGATGGATTGATAGTTAAATTGTATTCAAGCCGGTGTAGTTACGGCTGAGGGCCTTTAGGTAGAATTGTAGCAGATACAGCCGGTTGGTATTAATGAAGGTGCCTTCCAAGATACTAGACCAAAAAGAGGTCAGTCTTTGTTAGGATGGTTGTAATAAATTTCATAATGAAAAATGTTTGAGAAAAGGTTGTATTTTGTAAGTTTATATGTTGTTATTTAATAAATGGCGGCTATGGCCTTTTTCAACCCCAAAAACCAATGTTTCTAGTTGTGTAAGAAAAGGGAGAATTTGGTTGGGTGGGTGAAGGGCTTAGTAAAGTCCACACAGCCGCAATACATAGCAATACCTTAGTCATGTAAAGTTCAAGGTTGTCAAGTGTAGTGCTTGCTAGTGAGTACAGTCCACGATATGTCATTTAAGGGCTTGTTGGCCCACTTTTAAACAGAAAAATCCAACAAAACAACAGCTTCCCTTGCAGTGGTGTTCAGCATTTCTCTTTCTTGTAAAGAAATAGACATTCAACTGGCTTACACATACAACACTGCCACTCTATCCTTCCACTTCAGGCCCTCATCTGTTTCCTGCAGACCGTTTTCACACCAACACTGTCTGGATAGCTAGCAGCCCATGGCTGATCTGGCTTCCACCTTTTTCCTAGGTGAGGCCCTCCTGACTCTTGTGTGAAGACCTTCTGTCTATCGGGGTGGAGTCCAGAACCATAGTCCACAAAAACCCCAGCACACACCTGTCCAACTAGTGTGCTGGTGGTTCTGAAAACCAGGACCAACCCATATGTCTCAGTAATCTTTAGGCTCCAGGTCCCAAAACAGTTTCTAAACATCCTCTGAAATAAGCCAGCTGGAGCCCCTCAACCTGCCTGGATGAGAATCCTGGGTCAGCAACTCTTTACACCCTGGCAGGGCACAGCACTGCCACATTATGTACAATGTTAACAACCTGCATACAGTTGCAAGAAAAAGTTGGAGCCAGGAGTGAGCCAACCTTGACTCCAATCAGTGTGATGATATTGGATGTGTTGCTGACAGCTGTCCTGCCCCTAAAAAACACACACCTGTTTTGGGTTTACTGGTTTCAAGAAGCACTGTCTGATGTGAACCATGCCTCGCAGAAAAGAGGTCTCAGAAGACCTACGATCAAGAATTGTTGACTTGCATGAAGCTGGAAAGGGTTACAAAAGTATCTCCAAAAGCCTTGATGTTCATGTGTCCACGGTAAGACAGACTGTCTACAAATGGAGAAAGTTTAGCACTGTTGCTACTCTCCCTAGGCGTGGTCGTCCTGTAAAAATGACTGCAAGAGCACAGCGCAGAATGCTGCATGAGGTAAAGAAGAATCCCAGAGTGTCAGCTAAAAGCCTACAGAAATCTCTGGCACATGCTAACATTTTTGTTGACACATCTACAATAAGGAAAACATTAAACAAGAATGGAGTACATGGGAGGACACCACAGAGGAAGCCATTGCTGTCCAAAAAGAATATTGCAGCACATTTGATGTTTGCAAAAGAGCACCTGGACGTTCCACAGCACTACTGGCAAAATATACTGTGGACAGATGAAACCAAGATTGAGTTGTTTGGGAAGAACACACAACACTATGTTTGGAGAAAAAAAGGCACAGCACACCAACATCAAAACCTCATCCCCACTGTAAAACATGGCGGAGGGAGCATCATGGTTTGGGCTGCTTTGCTGCCTCAGGGCCTGGATGGATTGTTGTCATTGATGGGAAAATGAATTCCAGAGTTTATCAAGACATTTTGCAGGAAAACGTACGACCATCTGTCCGCCAACTGAAGCTCCGCAGAGGATCGGTGATGCAACAGGGACAATGACCCAAAGCAGACAAGTAATTCAACAAAACAATGGCTGCAACAGCACAGAATACGCCTTCTGGAGTGGCCCAGTCAGAGTCCTGACCTCAACCCGATTGAAATGCTGTGGCATGACCTTAAGAGAGCGATTCACACCAGACATCCCAAGAATATTGCTACACTGAAACAGTTTTCTGAAGAGGAGTGGTCCAAAATTACTCCAGATCGTTGTGCAGGTCTGATCTGCAACTACAGGAAACGTTTGGTTGAAGTTATTGCTGCCAAAGGAGGGTAAACCAGTTATTAAGTCCAAAGGTTCACATACTTTTTCCTCCCTGCACTGTGAATGTTTACATGTTATGTGCAAATAAACCATGGCAACATCTAATGTTTGTGTAGTATTATGTTCAGCAGGCTGTGTTCTTCTATTGTTGTGACTTAGATGACGTTCAGAGCACATTTTATGCCCAATTCATGCAAAACTCCACGTAATCCCAAGGGGTTTACATACTTTTTCTTGCAACTGTATGTTCATGTCAATTTAGTTTACTGTATGTAATTTTAAACAATTGTTTTCTTGGTTTAGCAATTGTTAAGCACTTGTAAAATAAACTAACCTGCAAGAAACCAGAGTTTGCATAAAGAGCAGGACTCTCACCCAAAAGTGTGGAAGAGCGGTCAAGGATAAATAGGAAGGGATAATAAAGGGTGAGGCCAAACTACACTTTACAGAAAGTCAAGATTTGCTTAAACCAGGGGTTTCCAAACTTTATAAACAAAGGACCATATTTCTGTTCTTCAGAATTTAAGAGAGCTGGACTATGGCCAGTAGAAAATGTCCCAGCGTCGGTGGGAGTAGACAGTGTCTCAGACTTGGTGGACAGTAGGAAGAGGAATAGTACCACATCATTGGTATTAGTTGGAATAATAGGGCCCTGTCATTGGCGTCAGTGGGAGGAATAGTGCCCTATTGTTGGTGTCAGTGGAAGGAATAGTGCCTCATACCAGTGGGAGTAACAGAGGCTCATATCAGTGATAGGAATGGTAGGAACAGTGCCCCAAGGGCCAGATAAAGGCATGGGCCACAATTTGGAGACCACTGGCCTAAACCATTATCAGTTTTTGAAAATCTTGACCTACTGATTTCACTGTCATTTGGCTTTCACTGAATGTAGACTCCATTGTATTTGATTCCTTCATATGCTTAGGTTGTTTTCACCTGGTATTTATGCAGAGAGCACGCTTTCTGTGGCCCTATGCCTACTTCTCCACAGACTGGACTTCGAACGATACAGTGCTGTGGAAAAGTATTTGCCCCCTTCCTGAATATTTGTCACACTTAAATGATTCAGATCATTAAACAATTTTTTTACACAAAGATAAGCCGAGTAAATACAAAATGCAGTTTATAAATGTTAATTTAATTTATTAAAGGACAAGTTCACCTTTCTTAACATGTTACACCCATATTCAGGGTGTAACATGGTACGAATGGACTGGCCCCCGCTCCTTCCTGCTCCACGTTGTGATCTTCTCCTCCCGCTAGCTGTCACAATTTTAAAAAAATGCAGCCCTGCAGGGCTCCGCCCATCAGTGTTGTGTGAATGAATGAACTACAAGTCCCAATAGCTTTTGCGGCTGTTGGCTTGTAGTTCCCACTGAACTACCACAGCAATGTGGAGCACCATGGTAGTTCATTGATTCTTGCCGTACGAGCAAGCAGATATATTGACAGGTCTGCAGGAGATCTACATGGCACCAGTGATCTGCTGATCGCATGTGCAATGCTTTACAGGCTCCTGAAACAAAAAATAATAAATGCACATTTTTTCCTGCATAAAATATGCATTTATTATTTTTTTTGTAAAAAGGTGAACTTATCCTTTAAGGGAAAAAAGCTGTCCAAACCTGCCTGACCCTATGTGAAAATGTAATTGTCCACTAAATTGTCCACTCTGGTTGTGCCACCCTTGGTGACAACTGCAATAAAGCATTTGGGATAACTGACAAAGAGTCTTTCACGTCACTGTGGAGGAATTTTGGCCCACTCTATTTGCAGAATTGTTTTAATTCATCCACATTGAAGAGTTTTTGAACATGAACAGCCTGTTTAAGGTCCTGCCAAAGCATTTCAATTGGATTTAAGTCTGGACTTTGACTAGGCCTCTTCAAAACCTTAATTTTGTTTTTTTGAGCCATTCAGACTTGCTGGTGTGTTTCAGATCATTGTCCTGCTGCAAAACCTAAGTGCACTTGAGCTTGAGGTCACGAATTGATGGCCAGACATTCTCGTTCAGGATTTTCTGCTAGAGCGCAGAATTCATGGTTCCATCAATTATTGCAAGTTGTCCAGGTCCTGAAGCTGCCTCAGGGCAATCACATTACCACCACTATGTTTGGTTGTTGGTATGATGTTCTTTTTATGAAATGCTGTGTTAGTTTTACACCACATGTAACGAGACGTACACCTTCCAAAATAGTTATTTTGTCTCATCAGTCCACAGAATATTTACCCTAAAGTCTTGGGGATAATCAAGATGTTTTTTGGCAAATGTGAGACGAGCCTTTTTGTTCTTTTTGTTCAGCAGTGGTTTTCGCTTTGGAACTCTACCATGGATGCCATTTTTGCCCAGTCTCTTTCTTATTGTTGAATCATTAATACTGACCTTATCTGAGGCAAGTGAGGCCTGCAGTTGTTTAGGTGTTCTGGGTTCTTTTATGACCTCCTGGATGAGTCATTGTCGTGCTCTTGAAATAATTTTGGTAGGCCGGCCAATCCTGGCAATGGCCACCACTGTTTCAAGCTTTTGCTATTTGTGGATAATGGCTTTCACTGTGGTTCTCTGGAGTCACAAAGCCTTAGAAATGGCTTTTGTAACACTTTCCAGACTAATACATGTCAATTACTTTTTTTCTCATTTGTTTTTTTAATTTATTTAGATTATGGCATGATGTGTTGCTTTATGAAATCTTTTAGCATTCTTCACTTTGTCACTGAAAAGTGATTTCTTAATTCAACAGGCCTGGCAGTAATCAGGCTTGGGTGTAACAAGTGAAATTTAACTGCTTCCCGACCGCCCTATAGCAGGAGTACTGCTATAGGGTGGCAGGGATGCTCGAAATCACTTATATATACATGATTTTGTATTTCTGGGTAGGGGGTGTGCGCTCCCTACCCGCGCCGTTATTGGCTCCTTGGTATGTCAGTCACCGGGTCCCGGATGCCGATTCTTGGTCGGGACTCAGTGATTGTCAGTGGAGCTGATGGGGGAGAGGTATGTATGTAAACAATACAGATCTCTCCCCTGTTAGCATGAACAGGCTGCTTTTGTATTACTCTGCACAGCAGAGCAATACAAAGCAGCTTGTTTGCACAGTAAAACACACACAGCACACAGTTAACCCTTTGATCACCCCAGATGTTAACCCAGTGTCAGTACAGTGTCAGTGCTTTTTATTAGCACTGATCACTGTATTAGTGTCACTGGGGATGTCAGTGACAGTCTGTTCCCACCCAGTGTCAGGATACCCATCACTGTCCCGCTATAAGTCGCTGATCGCCACCATTACTAGTAAAATTTAAAAAAATTCCAGTATCCCGCCATTTGTAGATGCTATAACTTTCATGTAAACCAATTTACATGTATTGGGATATTGTTTAGCAAAGACATGTAGCAGAATATATTTTGGCCTAAATGTATGATGAAATTAGATTTTTTAATAGCAAAAAATAAAAAATATTGTTTTTTTTTTTTTCAAAATTGTCAGTCTTTTTTTTATTATAGCACAAAAAAATGCACAGGTGACCAAATACCACCGAAAGAAAGCTCTCTTTGTGGGGAAAAAAAAGGACATAAATTTAATTTGGGTGCAGTGTTGCATGACCGCACAATTGTCAGTTAAAATAACACAGCGTGTATTGCAAAAAATGGCCTGGTTAGGAAGGGGGGTAAATCCTCTGGATGTGGTTAACGCAGCTTTTCAATAAATGTGATTAATCACAGTTCACTCATGATTTAGAGGGGGGGGGGTTTGCTTTTTTACATAGGGCCATCCAGTTTTGGACATCATTTTCCCCTTAATAAATTAAATCATCATTTTAAAAACTGCATTTTGTATTTACTCAGGTTATCTTTGTGTAATATTAAAATTTGTTTGATGATCTCAATCATTTAAGTGTGACAAATATTCAAAATAATCCTTCCTTTGTTCACCTCTTTTGCATAGAAGATCATCAGTGTAGTAGTTTATTGTCTTATGCTTCCAGATCAGCTTACAAGAAAGTCAATGCATTTCTGGTAAAATCAAAGCCTGATTTTTGTGCTTGCTACAAAAGTTCTTACTTGGAAAAATAAAAAATACAGCTAGTGCATCTTAGGACATGCAAACTACAATATATTACATTTTTGTTTTGGGGTTTAGCTTGCTTTAAGCTGTAATTTTAATTTATTGTCATTTATTGTATTATTTTCTTGCTGCAGCACACTGCTGACCCATCCTTCAGGTGTTTGCATCACTGCACATTTAGCATATTATGATATACAGTTATGGGGAAGGTGAAGTCACACCTTTAATATGCTGCTAAGGAATCTGTTTGGAATAGTTTATGCAAGAAAAAAATATTAATGAGAATTAACCATCAGACTTAAGCCTGAAGATCTCCTGGGTACTAGCTGCTAATTCACACATACAACAACATTTTGTTTTTCAGTTTTCAGCGGTGTGAAAATATTACATGATATACTGTGAAATTTTGGTGGACTGTGGATAAGCTGTTCATTTCTGTCCCTTGGTTGTATATTTTGTTTTTTTTTTCCAGCACTGTACCACTAGTTATAGCTTTGCTGCCAAATGTTTGGAGTCCATAACACAAGTGGAATGAAAAACTGGGAATTGCTGTTTGCAAAAAATGCAGCTTTGTAAAGAATTTGTAACATACAGTCAGGTCCATAAATATTGGGACATCAACACAATGCTAACATTTTTGGCTCTATACACCACCACAATGGATTTGAAATGAAACAAACAAGATGTGCTTTAACTGCAGACTGTCAGCTTTAATTTGATGGTATTTACATCCAAATCAGGTGAACAGTGTAGGAATTACAACAGTTTGCATATGTGCCTCCCACTTGTTAAGGGACCAAAAGTAATGGGACAGAATAATAATCATAAATCAAACTTTCACTTTTTAATACCTGGTTGCAAATCCTTTGCAGTCAATTACAGCCTGAAGTCTGGAATGCATAGACATCACCAGACGCTGGGTTTCATCCCTGGTGATGCTCTGCCAGGCCTCTACTGCAACTGTCTTCAGTTCCTGCTTGTTCTTGGGGCATTTTCCCTTCAATTTTGTCTTCAGCAAGTGAAATGTATGCTCAATCGGATTCAGGTCAGGTGATTGACTTGGCCATTGCATAACATTCCACTTCTTTCCCTTAAAAAACTCTTTGGTTGCTTTTGCAGTATGCTTTGGGCCATTGTCCATCTGCACTGTGAAGAGGCGTCTAATGAGTTCTGAAGCATTTGGCTAAATATGAGCAGATAATATTGCCCGAAACACTTCAGAATTCATCCTGCTGCTTTTGTCAGCAGTCACATCATCAATAAATACAAGAGAACCAGTTTCATTGGCACCCATACATGCCCACGCCATGACACTACCACCACCATGCTTCACTGATGAGGGGGTATGCTTAGGATCATGAGCAGTTCCTTTCCTTCTCCATACTCTTCTCTTCCCATCACTCTGGTACAAGTTGATCTTGGTCTCATCTGTCCATAGGATGTTGTTCCAGAACTGTGAAGGCTTTTTTAGATGTCGTTTGGCAAACTCTAATCTGCCCTTCCTGTTTTTGAGGTTTACCAATGGTTTACATCTGTGGTGAACCCTCTGTATTCACTCTGGTGAAGTCTTCTCTTGATTGTTTGACTTTGACACACATACACCTGCCTCCTGGAGAGTGTTCTTGATCTGGCCAACTGTTGTGAATGGTGTTTTCTTCACCAGGGAAAGAATTCTTCGGTCATCCACCACTGTTGTTTTCCGTGGTCTTCTGGGTCTCATGGTGTTGCTGAGCTCACCGGTGCATTCCTTCTTTTTAAGAATGTTCCAAACAGTTGTTTTGGCCACGCCTAATGTTTTTGCTATCTCTCTCTGATGGGTTTGTTTTGTTTTTTCAGCCTAATGATGGCTTGCTTCACTGATAGTGACAGCTCTTTGGATCTCATCTTGAGAGTTGACAGCAACAGATTCCAAATGCAAATAGCACACTTGAAATGAAGTCTGGACCTTTTATCTGCTCATAGTAATTGGGATAATGAGGGAATAACACACGCCTGGCCATGGAACAGCTGAGAAGCCAATTGTCCCATTACTTTTGGTCCCTTAACAAGTGGGAGGCATATATGCAAACTGTTTTAATTCCAACACCGTTCACCTGATTTGGATGTAAATACCCTCAAATTAAAGCTGACAGTCTGCAGTTAAAGCACATCTTGTTCGTTTCATTTCAAATCCATTGTGGTGGTGTATAGAGCCAAAAATGTTAGAATTGTGTCAATGTCCCAATATTTATGGACCTGACTGTATATTTATTGCTTGCTGTTCTCCTTGTGTATTATTTGTCTGCATAGTTTAAAGAAACCAATCTTATAATTAGGCATATTGTCAGTAAAATGCACATGCATATGTGATTCTGTAGAATGAGTAAAATGTGTAAACCTTTTTTCCATATCTGATAAATCTGATATTCATGCAGGTTTCACTACATACTAATAATGCGGTTTTCACTGAACACAGCTTATGCATTTTACAGGACTTCTTAAACTATTGCAATCAGAGTTGCATTTCTGCATAGCCAACATAGGCTGTGGCCTGGGCCATAAAGTAGTAACAGATTCCTATGTGTAATAAAAAGGTTCCAAGCTGATGGTTTGCCTGCCAATGTCATCCAGCTGGGTCTGCTGTCTGTGCTGTTTATGGTTCACCTATTCAGGGTTCATGCATCTAGAGTCAAATAATGTATTCAGTTCAACCTTATCCAGAAAAGATCTTCAACCCCTCCCAAGTGTTTCGCTCAGCAATATCCTATTGAAAAGGGGTTCTTAAACAAGTAGGAGATTGCAGTCATAGACCTAGCCATTTCCTGCTTAACAAAACCTTTGAGAACATTCAAGGACCCTGTGAAAAAAAGTTGGAAGGCCTTTCTGGGACCTTATACTCCTTTACAGGCCCTGCTATGCAATCTTCCACCTCAGCCATGTCCATCTGCCAGATATTTCTGCCCTCCGAACAAGTAGAGCTCCTGCCCGTGGCCCTGTGTTGATGGGCTGGTGGATACACTTCACTAGGTATCTAGAATAGGTCTCTTTTCGGTACATATGTGGAAGATCCTTTGGCTTAAATGTTGGTCTGTGGAGCTTCTGTTCAAGAAGTATCACATGCAGATGCCATTCTTTGGGGAATCCTTGGACACTTATATCAAGGGGGAAAGAGTTCCCTTTTGCCCCAGAAAAAGAATGGAAAATCTCCAACAATTACGCTTTCTGCTCCTGAGATGAGAAAGAGTTCCTTTAGTTCCTCTCAGGCCTCCAGATCCAAGTCCAAGTCTATAACCAGAAATAAGTCCTCCCAAGAGGCCCCTTTTTAAAGTGGGGAGATGTTTGTTGCCTTTGCAGCAATCTGGTCCTAGCAATTTCATGAACATTGGCCCAAAATGTCATATCCAAGGGCTATAAACTAGAATTTTGTTCTCTGCTTCCACCCCATATCATGCTGTCAAGCTTGCCAACATTTACGTAATGGTGGACGGACCTTCATGCTGCCCTCACGCAACTCCTCTCAAGGGTTTATAGCTATTGCTTTGGAAGGGGAATGATTTTTATTCATCAATGCTCACTGTGTCTCTCAGGTAAATGGAGGAATTTGCCCCATGCTGAGTCTATAAACTGTCAACAGATTCCTTTGAATTCAGATATTCTGTCTGGTCAGCCATTGCTTTCTTTCATCCAAAAGACTTAATCCTGGGATCCTTTAGAGGCCTCCCTTTAAGCTTATTAGGGATTTTCTCCGTCTACCCTTACCTATACAGTTAAGGTGTTGGCTCTGAGGAAGAAGCAAGCAAGTCCTCGAAACGCGTTAGCCTGTTGGATGTCCATTTCCATGTGATGGGACGTAATGCATTGTGGACTGGATGGTGCTGTTGTTTTATGAGCCTTTGTCTTACTCGTCTTTTATGAGTATAATACTTTTTTTTTATAAAAATAAAATCATATTTAAGGATAATGCACTAGGCTAGTGCACCCTATTTTTTTTTGCTTTTTTGGTTACAGCGTTCTCGGACTTCCTCAGTCTTTTGAGGGCAGCAAGGCAAGTGCCATCTGTGAAAGCCAGGATGGAGCCATAATCAATTGTGACCCTTGAGCCCACTTCCAAGTGCAGGGGATTTTGTGTATGCCCTTGACTTACCTATACAGTTGCCTTCCTTATCAACCTCACTC